CAAAGGTATTGGTGACCCCTCAGAGCCTCAGAACCCTCTGTCCCCTCTCCAGGGGAGCAGGGATCAGAGGCAGGGTTGGAGGGAATGGTTCTTCAGAAAATTACAGGAGGGAGTCCCTGGGTCCCTCAAGAGACCTGCTGGGGTGGTGATGGTGGGGAAATTTAATCTGGAAGGTGGAGGTTGGGGCTTATCCCTCCTTGGGCCCATAGGATGTGGGTCTCAAAAAGCAAGCCCTTCAGCCAGTCACAGTTGTTTGTTTGTTTGTTTGTTTTTTGCCCATATAGTGTTTTTGAATTATATTTATTTTTTTTATTTTTGGCTGTGCTGGGTCTTTGTTGCTGTACAGACTTTCTCCAGTTACGGGGAGCAGGGGGAGCTACTAGTTGCAGTGCTCAGGCTTCTCATTACAGTGGCTTCCCTTGCTGCACAGCACAGGCTCTATGCGCGTGAGCTTCAGTAGTTGTGGCTCCAAGGCTCTAGGAGCCACAGTAGTTGCAGCGCACAGGCTTAGTTGCCCCACAGCATGTGGGATCTTCCCAGACCAGGAATCAAACCAGTGTCCCCTGCATTGTAAGACAGATTCTTAACCACTGGAGCCAGGCAAGCCAGCTCATATAGTTTCTAATTTTGACTTTGCAGGCCTCCAGAAGACACATGCTTTTTCCATTTAGCCATAGTCCCCACCATGCCCTGTTGTCTTACATTGGACTCATTTCTCTCATTTATTTCATGATGGCCTTGAGTTTGAGACCCCTGGTCTGGTGGGTGAGAGGATGCCAGAATTTGGAACAGGATCTGGACTAGATCATGGGAAGGGTTCTGACTGGTACCACTGCTTGTGGCCTGGTAGATTCTTGGTCTTCTCCTCCTCTCCCACCTTTACTCACCAAGCCAGATTCCTTCACCCTCATTTTCTTCTCAGAAGAACATTCCAGCACATGTGACCTCCTGGTATCCAGCCTGAGACGAGGCAGCTTTAGGGCACTGGCCAGTGGATAAGAAGTACAGGCTGGTCCATGAGCCTTTCTCCTGATTGCATCACTGCCAGGTCCAGAGCAAACATTGACAATAATTAGTTATACTAGTGATAGAGTGTGTGTGCACACGTGCTTAGTCACTTCAATCGTATCTGATTCTTTGTGAGCCCATGGACTATAGCCTGCCAGGCTCTTCCCTCCATGAGATTCCCCAAGCAAGAACACTGGAGTGAGTTGCCATAACCTCCTCCAGGGGACCTTCCCAACCCAGGGATCAAACCCATGTCTTTTACATGACCTGCACTGGCAGGTGGATTCTTTACCACTAGCATCACCTGGAAAGCTCCCTGGAGTTAACATTTATTAGGCAGTTATACATGTGAGCATATACACATGCACATACATATGAGACACTGTACTCACTGACTTCCACGCATGATCTCATTTAATAAATGTCTAAAGAAGCATTTCTAAAACGCCTTTAAATTCGATCTCTAGGCAGCAATACATCCATTTTCTTTGTGACTTGGTATGTAACTGCTATAATAAAATTTTCACAAAAACAATATTTTCCTTTGACGTCAACATTTTTTTAATGATATTATTTTGTTGGTTTTTTTTTTTTGGTCTGATCAAGAGCCACTAAAGTTGCAGGCAGAAGGGACTGACTATAAAGGGACACAAGGGGGGATTTCCCTGGTGGTCCAGTGGCTAAGACTCCGTGTTCCCAATGCAGGGGACCTGGATTCGACCCTTGGTCAGGGAACTAGATCCCACATGTGGCAACTAAGAGTTTGCCTGCAGCAACCCACATGCCACAATCAAAGATCCTGTATGCCACAACTAAGACCTTACACAGTCAAATAAATACATAAATAAAATATCAAAAAATAAAAAAGGGGGGGCACAAGAGAAGTCTTTCGGAGGGCAATAGACAGGGTTCAAATTTGGATGTGGTGATGTACAACAGTGTCCATTTGTCCCAACTCCCCAAACTATACACATAAAGAGAGTAAATGTTATGGTATGTAAATACATCTCAGTGAATTCAGAATAAGATCCACACCAGTGATTTCACAACACATGGTTCACACACATGGATCATGACCCACAGTTTGGAAGGGGAATTCCCTGATGATCTGGTCCAGTGGTTAGAACTACACTGTTTTCACTGCCAAGGACCCGGGTCCAACCCCTGGTCAGGGGAACTAAGATCCCACAAGCCGGGTGGCACAGCCAAAATAAATAAATAAAAAGAAATTAAAAAAAAAAAAAGAAAAATGAAACACACTGGACGAAAGAAAGGAAGAAAAGATCAATGAATGAATGATTGAGTGAATGAAGGAAAGGAAGTAGAGAGGGAGGGTTTGAACTGGTCCCCAGTATTTGAAGGAGGGAGATCACACGTGAGACCTGCATTCTCTGCTCTTGGGAAATCGAAGCACCTGGCCACACTTGAGAACCTGGACAAGCCCCCCTCTGCTGGGTACTCAGAGGCCACTTGCCCTCTGATGACGCCGTGGGGTTTGGAGTGTGATGCAAAGGGGATGGAGGGTGCAGAGGAGACAGGGCCCCAGAGCTTTAGACACCAGCTCTCGTCACCACATCAGAGTGGGGGAAGGAGTGACGAAGGGAGACTGAGAAAGGAAAGGGAACTGAAAGGCAGAAAACCCCGGGTGAGAGCCACTGCAGAGGCTGCCCGGGCATGTCCCGTGCCAGCTGCCTGGGGCTTTCTTCTGCCTCTGGGTCCCTCACCAGATTCGTGGTGAGTGCAGACAGGTGCACATGCTTCTGGAGCGTGTCCCAGCAGTGGGCCAGTTAGCAGGAACCTGTCACAGGTGTGACTTTGGGACTGTCTGTTGGGGGAGTCTGTCTTTTTATGTCTGACTTGATCTGTGTCCGGGAGGGTCAATTTCTTGACAGTTTTCATGTGTCAGCTATGAGTTGATGGGGATGTGTTTGTGTGTGAGCTGCTGGGGGTGGGTCCCTGTAGGTGTTTCTACACACTGTAGATCAAGCAGTGTGCCCAAGTGTCCCAGGGACAGGTGTCGTGTGTGTGTGTGTGTGTGTGTGTGTGTGTGTGTGTGTGTGTGTGTGTGCTGCTCTGCCTATCAGGAAGTTTCTGTTTGCCGACAAGACAAGCTCTTAGTGGGTGTCTGTGTGGGTCCACCACTGTGTGTTTGTGTGTTGTGGGTACCTGAACGGAGCTTGTGAACATGATTGGTTTGTGAGCCTAGGTGTGCTCAGCAGTGCGGGTGTTTGTGCAACTTCTGTGTCTGTGACACAGAGTCCCAGTGAGACTGTTAGGAAGTCGTGTTATGTGTGTATTTGTGCCTGAATGGGTGAGTGCCCCGTCAGTGCGTGAGTTTGTGCGTCCACGCCCCTGTCCAGGGAGTGGATCTGGCGTGTCTGCGAGTGGGCTTGGCCCCGTGGCCCTGACACACGTGGCTTTGTGTACCCTGGAGCGCCAGGCGGTCAGCCTGCACACTCGTCTCGGGGTGTGTGTCTGTGGGTCCCAGTCACTGTGTCAGTGTGTCAGTGTGTGCGTGTCCAGCTGTCCCGCCCGTCCGGAAGGCCGATCGGCGCGCCTCCGCCCCCAGGCCCGAGCCTTGCCCCGCCCCCGGCTGCAGGGAAACCCCCCGCGCCGAGGTAGGGGGCGCGGCGCGCGCCTGCAAGTCCCGACTTGTCCGCGGCGGGCGGGCGGGCGGGCCGGGCCGTGGCGTCACTCGGGG